GCAAACACACAGCAGTCCCTCCACTCTCTGCGGGTTTCTCTCAGCAAACGTAGCTCGTCCAGCTTGTTGTCGAGGGAGCAGACAATGGAGAGTAGGAGGACGGTCCTGATGGTCTGGAGGGGTTAGCCTTTAGCCTAGCATGGATCCCAACTCTCTTCCTCCTCCTTTGTTTACGTTCGTACCGTTTGCACTTCCTTCTTTCTCAGGTAACCGCCGGCGTAGTCTCCGATCAGACTCCGTGTTAGTGTGGTATGTCCAAATCACAACCGAGCGCCGCAATTCCAGTGCCGTTCACTGTCCTGACACCCAGAAAAGTCTACCGGTCGGAAGTTTTGCAGAATGAACGTCTGGGATCGAGGTGCTGCAAGGAGTTGGCACAACCTTTGATGTCGACACCAACACGTTTTTTTTTTTTTTTTAAATGTTTCTCCTCTGTAATAAATTTCTCTAAAACTACAGCCAAATTCTCACAATAGTGTTCTGTTTTTCCAAAATATGGTAAAATGTTCTTTTGAGGAGGTTTTTTTTTATGCCAAAAACAAGAATAACCAGTAACACCAAGATACTGATGAATGACATTAATGTGTGAGTTCACACCAATGAATTATAAAGTTGTGGCAACATTTAACTCAAAACCACTCATTTCAAGCTCACGATGTCGCTACAGGTAAAATTAGGAAATCTTCAGGATTATTAGCACTTATCATCTTTACAAAATTTTGTGCCAGTCCATCAAGGAGATATTGGATATTACGCTGGAAATGTTAGGGTTAATCCTCTGGGGAGCATGACGACATAATTTAATGGCAATCCATCCAGTTGTACTTGAGATATGTCAGTTTGGGATAAGGAGGCAGACCGAGCAGCGATATTAGCATGTTAGCATTCTGCTAGCATGACTACTACAAATGCTAAGAAGCACTGCAATGTTTAGCTAATGGGTCACAAGCAGTAGTGCCTTGTTAAGACCTGTGTTCAGCTGTGGATTGAACACATGACAGATTACTGACAGCACCTGGACAGAGGGGTTAACGGAGAATATACACTGTCTTTTTGGAGTAATTTAAATCATGAATTATATTTTTACAGCTGCCATTTAGACATTTTTCTTCTCTGAAGCATTTACGCATTCCTGATGTTACACCTGCTTTTCCCAGACGTTACATTTCATGTGCATCTCCTCTGCCACAATGATGGCAGATGTTAAATCAGGTGAGATGACTATTTATATATATATTTGTATATATTTCCATGACCTTCTAGTAGATTTTGTGCCTCTGAGGACGACACTAAGATACAACAGGAGCCAACACATACAACACCAATATTGTTGCATGTGTCACGTTCTGTCGGCTGCTGTCTGTCCTTGTTTACCGATTGGATAAAAGCATTTTAAGGATTTAAAAAAAACACACACATTCACATCTTAATCTTTCAGAACTGACTAGACTATCAAATGCCACCAAGCTGCAAGCAAAAGACAGCTAATCATATCCTGTGCCACTTTCACTTTCTCCGTCATTCAATGAGACAATATGTCAGATTTCTCAAATAGGCCATGTCTCACATCGGAATGAAACTCTTTCAGACTTCACACTGTGCTTCCCCCAATAGCAGATGTGGTGACAGCCCAGATGATGAACGATACGAGGACAAAAGCTGACAGATGTGATAAATACAACGTCGAATGGCTAATCAATCTCATGTGGGTAGAAGGAAACGGAGGAAAAACAGCAGCGGGGATCTCCTGGTGTGAGTCAGCAGAGGCAAAGGAGCCTGATTGGCAGCGTGTACATGCATGTGTGTGTCTGCAGACCACATGTCTGTGCATCCAAGTGTGTGTGAAAGGCTTTTTTTTTTCTCTCTTTTTTTTCTTGGTCTCCCATAACCCGACCTTGTCTTTATGAACTAAAATGAACAGGGAAGCTTTGGTGTGTGTGGGCTTGTGTACCCACGCTGCCTTAAAAAATACATCCCTGTTTTCTTTTACAGCCTGGTAACAAACGCTGGCAACAGCCCAAACATACTGAAACATTACACACTGCGAAAACAAGTATGAAAGGAAGGGACAAACGACAGGCTTAAGAAATAATAAGAGCTTCAGCACGGTGCAGGAAATATAACAAATCCAGTTTTTAGGAGACAGAGGTCGGAGGTGGAACAAGTATCTTTACTTTCTTCAAATAGCGGACATCCCTTCCATTTCTGTCTTCATCCATTCAGCCTGTTTCTTTTTACACATTTTCATCAGAAGGTCATGCTCCACATCATCTTTAAGTGAAGATGGCCTGTACATGTGTGTGTGTGTCCAACTACTCATGGCCTACCAAGATGAGAAATTGATTTCCAGAACTTTGTAGTAACTCAAAGAATAGTCTGAGACAAAAACAGGCAGAATCCAGTATTTAGTCCTACATTTTCACCAGCTATCTTTAGCTTCAGCACATCTCCACACAGAGTAAATCCATCCATATCTACCATCATTAAAAACATAAAGGTGCTGTACTGATTTAGCACTGCGCTCCTCCAGATTTTCACATTTGTAGCCTTCAGCCTCAACTGATGCTGACATTCGAGACAACTGAGGCGTCACTCAAATGGAGCAGAACCCCAACGTGAACTCTGATGTGTAAAAATTGGTGTACTTCCCCTTTAAGTTTAAATACATAATGGGATCCAACACAAACATCACATCTAATCTGTTGTGATTTCAGTGTATGTTTTTGGATAGTAAGCTGGTTGAAAGTAGTATTAAACACAGTAGTAATGTGGCTCAAGGGGGTGGCGATATTTGTCAGCCTGGTTCAGATTAAAATATGTGGACAACTGTTGGATGGATTAACAGGAAATTTGGTACATTAATGCTCCACAGTGATGGAAACATAAAGACTTTGGTTTAGCCACCAGCGAGTCAAAATGTCCGCTGGTCCAACACATCTGTTTAATAATCCAATTCACATAAGCAAAACTGTCACTCCATTTTCAATCCAATCAAATATGTTTTCTGCTTCAGACTTTATACTGTGTTAAAATCTACAAGATGTAATCATCTGCAAATGTCAAAGTCCTGCAAATGTAACTAAAAATAATACAACAATCTTACATTTCTCAAAGAAAGAAGTCATTATCATCATTATTACTAATATTATGTGGGAGGTGTGGAGTTTATTCAACAAGCGTGACACATTTCTGCTCCAGTTCTTTGACTCTCTCATTGTTGAGGATTCCCATGGTCTTTGCTGATGCATATACACCAATCAGCCACAGCATTAGAACCACCTGTGTCATGTTGTGTCGGTGCAGTTCTTGTCACCAAAACAGGTCTGAGCCTTTGGGAGGCAAAGGACCTCTGGAGGTGTTGGGTTCGGTGGGTTGCAGGGTGGGACCTCATTGGATCAAGCATGTTCCAGTGCCTCCTCTAAATGTTTGACTGGACTGAGATCTTAGGTGTTGGGAGCCTATTTCAGTGTCTTGGCCTCGTTCCTGAGCAGTTTTTGCAATGCAGCGGACCACATTGTGTGCTATGGGGGTATATTTGGTCTGCAACGATGTGTAGGTGGGTGGTACCGCTCAAAGTAACATCCACATGAATGCCCAACATTTCCCAGCAGAACTTCATTGCAGCTTGATGATAAGTGTTATTCACACCCCCTGTCAGTGGTTTTCATGTTGTGGCGGATTGGTGTATATGCAAGTCATGGATGGTTACCACATGATCTCACTTGTAAGACTGTTTCCTTGACAGACAAAGAGATTTAACAGCAGCTTTGAACTCGTGATCTTCATCTACTATTAGAACTGGTCCATTTCACTTTAATACAGTAAATGAGCTGCACCAAATGGCAAAGGAACCACTGTTTGTGTTGACTTTTCAAGCAGGTTAGACATGGAAGCACCCGTACTAAATTAGCTTTGTTCAATGTAGTATTGACCAGATAGTCACACAATTGCACACAAATACTGTAAGGCTGGTATTACTGGTAATATATCAACTGGAGACATACTCAAGCCACATATAGACCAGCTTGAAACTGTCTGTAGCTAGCTTAAGTGGCTAAATTTCTCACCTTGGTCCCTAAAAAAGAGGTGTAGTCACTCTTCTGACCACCTTTCTGAAACTCCTGCTGCTGCTTATCAACCTGGTTCTACAGTGTTTTTTTGGTGCTGGACACCATTCATTGGTGACATTGTGAAATATTAATATATGAAACAATGTCAGTTTCATTCACGCATTTCAAATTCTAACCACGTAGCCACTGCTGTATTGGTTAGAATGTAGAATTCACTGTCATTAGCTTAGAATGCAAAATCCATTAAACAGCGACCAATCTAATGGATTCATTAGGAGGTAAACAGTCTAGTAGCTGTTAGCGTGTTGTCTCAACTGAATTCACAAAGACACAGGACATTAGCTTCCACACATATACTGAGTACAATTCCAACTTAGTACAGTTTAAAGTCAGTGTATGTCAGTTGTGTATCTAGGAGTCAAAAATGAAAGAGGAGTTAAAATAGATGAACATATTCAGGCACATTGGAGCAATGTGATGAATATTCTACCCTTCATTAATACATAATGAACACCAACACAGCTCCAAAGCCTCATCTCAGACATACTGAATTAAAATAATAAAATAAAATCAAGGTGACTTCATCTTGTCCCGTGTCCAACAGAGCCGCTCAGACTTTGACAAAATGTGGGGGAATGATGCATCCCACCACATTAGGGTATTTTCAAAATTACACTGAGCAGCTGTGGCCTGAGGCTTTCTGCTAACAGATCAAAATGTGGTGACATATTTGTGACACATTAGCTCAGATGGGCATTCCATCATTCTGTGTTTACTGTTTACTGTCGCCTTGTTTCGCCCTGAAAGGACTGGAGGAATTATCCTCACTACTTTCTGCTACTCATGTTTCATTAATGGTGACAACCCAAAGTGTATGTCGCGGTGCACACACCACACACACACACACACACACACACGCAGACTTCTAACCTGTTCTTTGACGGAGGCGAGGATGGCGGAGGTGGTTTCAGACTCGGAGCCGTCTCCGTTGGAGGCATTGAGGACGGGGCTCAACATGGTGGCAGCGCTGGCAGTGTCAGATGCCACCTCAGGCACTGGCATACCTCCTGGAAAACAAGGGGACACGCAACTCTTTTAGTGTCATTAAAGACACCCTGACATGCCAGCATCGAGGCTGAGAGGCTGTCACACCTACATTACTCACCACACACACACACATGTGGACGCTGGAGTGAGGTGATGAGAAACACACATATTTGCAAACATGCATACGGCGAAGGAAAGGGTCACTAATAAACCAACCCGCGAATGAGGCTCTACAAACATACCAGTCAGCCAGTACCGCCCATGTGCACTGCTTCCTTGGTTCCTTGATTCCAGTGCAACATTTTTACCAGTAATAATCGACCTTTCCACTAATGAAGCAGCATTTTCCTTTTCTGTCTGACTTAATTTTGTTCAGGGTCATGGGGAGCTTATCCCAGCATGCACTTGGAAAAGGACACATCCTGGACAGGGGCACTGGTTGTAAGAAAAACCTCAAGATGTACATGTTTTAATTAGCTCTAGGCTGCTTTTAATAGTCCTAATAGTTCATATTTATTTTTATTTTAGAAACTGATCTTACCAGTTGCTATCCTCATTTGCCAGTTTCAGTGTTGTATAGTATTTTTCTGCTATTTATTCAAATTTTAGATTGTCTATATATTTAATATTGTATTTTACATTCTCTATCTGCACCATGTCTACTCAGGTTTTTTTTTTTTTTTAATGTTCTATAAAAAGAAATTTGATTTGATTTGATTTGATCTTTGGAACAGGAAAACTAGGCCAGTAAGAAGAAAGAGATTCTACCAAGATAGCAGCAACAGAATGTGCAGTTGTAGTCAAGGAATGAAAGCAGAAGCAGCGGTATTTGTGGTAGTAGTATAGTAGCTGTAACACGGGAGCAACACCAAGTATAGTGTCATAAAAAGGTGGCGGTGGTGGTGGTGGTGGTGGTGGTATCGCTCAGACATGTGCAGCAGAGAGCTTGTCCTAACGCAGGTATTTCCAGCCCTTGCTAAAACAGAGGCGCACGTGTTGAACTGTAATAAAAAGGTACATTGCACATCTGGCACACAGCAGATGCATCAAAGAATGGAAACCTTCTACCATTACAGCTCACACGCAACGAGCACTGAACTCCAACAGAGGCTCATTTAGAAATAAACAGTAATCATAACAGCTCTACTCTTATAGTTGCTGTTCCACTAGAATTATTTTTTTTTTTTGCTGGTAACAGCAATAATGATCACCTGTAGTTTCATTTAAAAAGACCAAAATCATCAATGGCCTCATTATGGTCTGTCAGGCTAAATGTCAACCTCATGTAAACCTCTGAAGGAAGGTCATATTTACTTGAATGTAAAAAATAAGTCAAATAACTTCCTTAAACAGCTGTAGGTTGTATCAAAATGGTCTCAAATAGGAGAAAACAGTACATTTCTTTGGGACTATTCTGAGCTATTAAAGATTTTTGAACTTGGACTGCAGATTAACACACACTTTATGCTCTCGTCAGTGTTTTCAGCAGTGGGACGGCGTTCATGTGTGTTAACCAGCTCAACAGTGTGGCTCATTGATGTGTTTTTAACAATACTTGGACAACAATGGAGCTTCGTTTTTGCACAGAGATAAGAAGAAAACACAAAGATCACTTGATAGCAGCATTCGTTCATTGTTAGTTTTGCCTCTTAGTGGGATTTATTGAGAATAAATATCATTACAATGAAATAAATTATGCAGCTTCGACTCATATGCATGTGCTGTGTTGCTACATCACTGCCACATATGGTAAACTCTCATGGTGACATATGTGAGTCAAGTATGTTTTTACTTCACATGACGTGTATTAAGGCACATGTAATACACAGATATGCATATTTAACACACAGCCTCTTACAGCTACAAACTGTCGCCCTGATTGCACTTGAAGTGACAATACAGTCGAGTCATATTAGCAGCAGAAGCAATAGTCGTACAACAACAGCTGAATGTAATTAAACGGCATTAACTAATAGTACTTATCAATATTACATCAAACGTATAATTTAATACCCAATATCTGGTATGAAAATCTGAGTTTCAGAGTTCTGGCATCCCCACACAAACACACTCAAATTCCATGCTTGATGCCATGTGTCATCCTGTATTTGACCAAGCGTAGGAGGACACGGGCTTCACATGTGCCATGTAATCCTGATGCAGCACAGAGCTGGTGTAACGGCTGCATCAGCCAGCTTTACACACTGATGAAAGGCTTGTCATGAGGAATCTGCACACACACACACACACACACACACACACACACGTATAAACACACAAAAGCTGGCTGGCGGCATGAGGCAGCACAAGCCGAGTGCCGAGGTAAAAAAAAAAAAAGAAAAAAAAGAGTGGAGCCTGTGAGCAGAGTGGAAGGATAAGAGTGGAATGGAGGGGAGCGATGGAGAGGTGAAAGGAAAAATGAAGTGGAATGAGAAATGAGAGTGACAGCACGGAGAGGGCATCGGACAGCAGGAGGCGAGGTGAGGAGAAAAGAGGAGTAGGAGGGTGACGGGAAATGAAGAAGAGAGACGAGAAGAAGGGAGGGAAGAAAAAAAAAAAAAAAGCTATTCTTGCATGCTGCTAGGCAACAATCTCTGGTCACCGAAGGCTGCTAATATGGCTGACCTGGCTTCACTTGTCTTCCATTTTGAAGAGTGTTGCCCTTCCACTGCATCCATCGTTCCCTCATCACTGTTTCTGAAACTTAAATTTTTCATCAGCACCCACCTTGCGACTCGCGCTACGTCGTTTCTTTTCCCCTCCTCGCTGCTGCTGCCGCCTTTCTGCCTCTAAACTTCCTCTCCTCCCCTTCTCCCTGCCTGCTTCTCTTCACTTGACCTGCTTCGGCGTCCCCTCATCTTTTCAGCACGGTTCTGCTTTATTAGGCAGAATCCAGCAGAGGGTGACAGGAGGAGGATGACCCAAAAGGTTGCAGGTTGGATATGAACCTGCGACGCTACAGTGCACCTGAGCCTCCTCTGAGGCTGCACCGCTTCTCATAAACACTTCACGCCAGCCTTCTTTTCTGGATTTTTTTTTTTTTACTCTCCAACTGTGCTGTCACAACTGCAACAGCATTATCATGTGCTGTGCCTTCCTTTCTTTCCCATCAACTACTTCTCCTCTCTTCCTGTCTTTGCTTATTCTGTAGTCACATCACACACAATGTCATCACCGTCATTATCACCTCTGCTAAGCCTAATCTCTCTCCATTCCCCCTTTCTCGCTATAGAATCAAATCACAAATCCACTTCTTATACTCTAATTTTTTTTTACAGTCTCTGTTAGCAGAAAGGGGAGATCACAGTAGCTGCGATAGGGTGAGATCAATCAGATGGAATCCTGCTGCCAAACATACTCGCCTTTACGCTTTGAGGTTCGCAACTTTTGCCAGAAAACGCCCCCTGTGGCCACAAGAGGTCACTGCATTTTAACAGCATGCCTATTTTTCAATAATAATGTCTATTTAATCAACGCAATCAGTGGATTCGCATGCAAAGTTAACTCTGACGTACAAATGGTATCGACACTAGCCGTGTTTCCATATAAACGTCAAAAAGCAAACAATTGAAATGTCGCAAAAAATTAGTGGCCTTGCCAGATGGTGGCAGTAGAGGCTACCGTACACATGGCTGTAATAAACAGAGAAGAAGAAGCAAGAAACAAAATCAGTTTTTACCAACTGCTACCAAAAACCAGAAAGAAAACGTTAGACATCTACGAGACAAAAATAGAGAGAAGCCTTCAGGAACTGTTTCAAAAGAATTGTAGTTATTCATACATGCTAGCTGTATTGGACGTGTTTCATGGTATCTGGAGATGATGCCAAACAAAATAAATGCAAAGAGCTGATCAGACAGAACGTATTCATAAACGATGTTTTCATGTCCCATTATGACCATTACCTCCTTTTCTAGAACATCAAAAACCACCTCAAGTGTAAAAACTGCAGATTTTTTTCCCCCTAATTTTGCTGTTTTCATTAACTTTTTAAATGTGGTGCTTCAAAATTTGCATAAATATGACATGGAAAGACGGGTACAGTGGATATTTGAAGGAACAAAGAGATGGAGAATCTAAAAATGAGGAAACTTAGTTCATAGCTAGTTAGCTGTACTGCCCCATCCAGCTTCATTTAACAAGTTGACTCCTCCAGTCATCCACCAAAGAGGCTTACAGACAGTTACGACACTGAATTGTATCGTACGCATCCATCCCCTCAATAAAAATGTGATTTTACTGTTTCGTCAGCAAAGATGCTTGCTCTCTGACAATCAGCAAACTAGCTAGAACATCATGGTGGAGAAACTATGCCAGTACAGAAAGAGCAGAAATAGCATCACATTCAAAAGTAATATCAGAACCTATGAAGTAAATTGAGTTTAGTTACTGAGGTCCGACAGATTCTTTGAGGTGATATTTGAAGAAAGAAGCTGAAGGTTTTAGAACTCACTTCAAGAGAATCAGAGGTTCCTTTGATCCAGCATCCACTGTAGCCTTACTGACTCATACATTTATGTATGACTCATGCAGTCATGCGTTCAGCGTTAATACAGCGAAGATGGGACATTCTAACAACACCCATGTGGCTGTTATTTATAAAAAATGTAAAAAGTCGGGGCAGCGGCAACATCTCCTTCAACAGAGCCTTTTAACGGTATGACATTTATTTCTAGATGTAAATAATAACCTGTCAATGTTCCTCAGACTGTATTATCACCTGAACATAGCACTGTTTATATAGTACATGTGACATGTGCAGCATATCCCATTACTACCGCTGTCATGTCCATTTATTCATTTACCCACTTTATGTATTTATTGGAACTGATTGCAGAGCCGTGAGGTACTTATCATGTTTGCACATGTCTCAGTACTCCATATATTCTATTTCGTGTACGTCCGGCTCAGTCTTCCATCTTCATACTGCAGTACATCAGAGGTATTTGTATGTAAAAGTGTTGTTTTGGAGAGGAAAGGGGCTTAATGTGGATGGAAAGTCAGAACATATATTC